CCACTAAGAAGAATATATGCAGTGTATTATTTGTTGAAACTGTACTTCCGATTTGATTTGAAACTGTCTCATTGCTGTTTATCAATAAAACTTTGAAAAACCAAAAAGAAAAGTAACCGAGACAAAGATTTATTGGTGAATTTTACTTGCATAAAGTAAATGAAGGCTGACCTTCAGGTGAGAAAAGTCCAATTATATACAACCATTAAAAAAAACTAATTTGGGGCTGATGAGATGGCTCAGTGGTCTAAAGCACCTACTTAGAACAAGCTTAGCAAAGTATAGGGACAGCGGTTCAATCCCCCAGCACCACATGCCAGTCAGCCCCACCCCCTGGTGGGCTGAGCTGGCCACACACACACACACACACACACACACACAAATTTTTTTTTAAAAAAGCTAATTTAATTAAGCCTACCTAAATGAATTCTTAGTAATAATCTTAGGTGAAAACCTGAAAACTACTCTTATGCCCTAAATGAAAAATCAGTACTTACTCAATTCTCACTGGATGCTATACTCATTAAAATCCTATCATCTGTTTCCCTGGTGTTAAAACGTGTAGCTGGGCAAGGGGTATTAATAATGATAATGACATGATAAATTTTACTATTTACCATGACAAGCAGCAGTACTGACTATTCTACATGAATTTTCTCATTCATTCATTCATTTTCAGATAAGGTGTATGTTGCCCAAGCTGGTCTTGCATTCCAGGCTCAACTGATATTATCTCAGTCTCAGACAGAATGACAGATATGTACCACCAACCCAAGCTGGATTGTTTCATTTAAATCTCAAAGCAAAAAATAATTGTATTATCTTATTGGTAGTAGAGAAAACTGAGGTTAATCAATAGCATGTCTATGTTTATACAACTAAAATTGATGCTATGGGGGCCTGGCCCTAGCTCAGTTCTTTAAGTGGCTGCTTCCACAAAGCTGTCAGCCTCAGGTGGCTGTAGTTCGATCCCCACAACTCCAGCCAGCCAAACCTGTCCTGAAGGCATTCTGAGAAAAAAAAAAAAAAAAAAAAAAAAAATCCTAAAATCGATGCTATACCAGGATATAGACCCAGATAGTCTTAACTTGCCAGAGTTAGCTTGTGTGCTCTAACCACTTGGTTCTGCCGGGTTATGGAGACCAACCAGACACCTGATGTGAGTTACTTACTTCTTCTTTCTCTGTGGGTAGTCTCCGAGTTGCACAAATATCTGAGAGGGTTGGCGTCACTTCTGGCTTTCTATTTCCTCTCAGTAGCTTCTCTTCAGTTACTAAGGAGTCTATCCTAGCTAGAATTTCTTCAGTCTCACTGCAAGGCTCCTTTTCTCCTTCAGTAGCTTCAATTTTCCTTCCCTCCTGTTGTCTGGTACCAAGTAGAGGGCAACAGCCTTCACTTGCTTCTTTGCTGCTAATGTGCAACGGTTCCATTAAATAAGCTACCTGCAATCAAAGTTTATTATTAAACATGTAGGAACACCAGTGGAAATCATCCTCCCATACACCAATAATGCCACATGCTTATGTGGTCATTATGACTACATAAAGAGAAAGCAAAACAGTATTTCCTGAATATCTTACATATGTAGACCCAGGAGTAGTTGCTAGGGATACTTTCTTGAACAAGATGTAGTTCTTCCCTCTTTTGGGAATCTGAAATGTAAAGCAGACGTTGTGCCACTGAGCTATATCCCCAGTCCAATCTGAAATGTCAATTCTGATCAATTGGGAGTAGCTGTCTAGACAACTTGAAAATTTTTATAGCTATAGACACTACAGGGAGATAGCTCAGTGGCACAAGCACCTGCCTGGCAAGCAAAAGGCCCTGAATTTGGTTTCTGTACCAAAGGAAAGAAAACAAAGATGTGCCAGACACTATAGAGATAAGAGGCAGCATCTAAACTGGATATTTGTTGATTCTAACCTAGGTTCTCTTGAATATGTTCATATAGTATTAATACAAATTCTCTGTCCAAATCTATTTCTGGCTTTCAGGCCCCACCTAAGATAATTAGGACACTAAAATATTGCTAATGAACTGGGTATGGTGGCACATGCCTATCATCACATCACTTGAAGGCTGAGGCAGGAGGATCAAGGTGAGTTCAAGGCCAGCCTGCACTACATAATGAGGCCCTCTCTCAAAAGAAAAAAAAAATACTGCCAGAAACTGTCAGCTATTCAGGAGGCTGAGGCAGGAGGATCCTAATTTTGAGCCAGTCTTGGCAACTCAGCAAAGCTCTTATCTCAAAATAAAAAATAAAGGACTAGAGGTACAACTCAGTGAGAGATCCTAAATTTAATACCCAGCACCATTACATACTACCACAAAACAAAACTTTTGAAGCCAAAATATTTTACGCTGTAAGAAAACCTTGGAGCCAGGGAGATAGCTCGGTGGTCTAAGCACCTGCTTGGCAAGCGCAAACACCCAGATTTGAGTATTGCATGCTATGCCAGCCCTGCACTATGCTGGCCACCAAAACTGGGCACAGTGACACATGCTTATAATCCCAGCGCTGTGGAAGCTAAAACAGGATCACTACAAGTCCAGGCTGCATAGCAAGACCCTGTACCAAATAAATAAATCTTTAAAAAAAAAAAAAAAAGAAAAAGAAAGAAAAAGAAAAAAGCTTGACTAAGTATAACCTTCCATGACTGAAAGAATGAACTGAAACGACACTCCTAAGGCTCTTGTGCATATGCAAATCTCACTTCCTATGATTAATGCTCTCAAGGACTGGGTGGGGGTGAAGGGTGTCTTAAAACATACATTCAAAATATATTTTGGTGCACAGTCTATATCACCACCCAATACTGGGGACATAGCACTGAACTTAGCCAATTCCACTGTGGAGTATATATTTTAGTCAACAATTCTGAGATGTAGAGACATGTAAGGATAAGTATTCTTAGAAAGTTGAGGTTCTTCCAGCTTTGAGAATAAGAGTTCCGTGTTACCTCAGAGAGAAACTGCAGGAGGTTCTGGCAGCTGACTTGCTCTGCTTCTTCCTGAGATTCCTCACTGCCTCTGTCCCCCATAAACAGCCCACTAGGTTCTCTCCCTGGGTTGCTTTCCTCCGGTTCCTCCACTTCTGGATCCTCAATTTCCCTCCAGTTGCCCACATCAAGATCCAGACTGGAGTCCCATGAGCTGAAGAGGGATGTGTAGTTGTTGCTCAACTCAGAGTCATTGGGACAGTCTCGTTCAGAATCCAACCAAACCCACTCATGTCCCATCTGCAAACATATAGAAAAATGAATTAAATTCATTTAAATAAAATAAAACATCTGGTCTTCCAAATTCGGCAGAAAGGGCCAGAATTTTCTACTCATTAGTATGAGAATATAAATTAGCTAATAAAATACATTGTAAGATAATTTTTTTTTTTTGGAATAAGCAGTGGCTTCATGCCAATATAATAAAGATATTACCCAATACTTTTTTTTTTTACTTTGATGTCCTCATACTGCAAAAGGGAAAGAACAAGCAAGCATAACTGCCTTAACAGACTATTTCAAATCATCCATAACTTCAACTATAATAAACTTTAAGGAAGGGGAAAACGGGTATTTCTTTAGCATATACATTTACCCTAACCATTAAACATACTTCTGATTACTTTTTTTTTTTTTTTTTTGGTGGTACCAGGGATCAAACTCAGGACCTTGTGCCTATCAGGCAAGTACTTATTTCTCTGAGCTATCTCACCAGCCCCTCCAATTACCTTTGATATCCTCCTAGTCATATCCAATTGTCACCATCTGAGGGTAAAACTGAAACAATGAACTTTAAAATTGTCCTTTGTTGTCTGCACTATACTACTATCTTGCTTTTCTTGTACCTTATCTTCTGCTCTTAACTTTCAAGAAAATCTTGTTCCTGTGTGGCACTCTGCTTACTGGTGCTTCCTTTCAAAAAACTGTTCCCACTACTTAGGAGATTGAGGCAGCCCTGCAAGTTCTAGGCCAGCCTAGGTGATAGTGTAAGATCCTATTTCCAAAAGAACCATCATTGCTAATGATAAATGATACATATTTTGAAGTTTCAACTTTATATTGAAGTAGCTCCCAAATCTCTCGTTTAAAACAAACAAACCAAATTTCTCGTTTTTGCAGTCTTGAGACTCAAATCCAGGTCTAATGCAGAACCAGAGCCAATCTCCAGCCCTCATCTTCACTTCTCATGTGCATGCTGCTGTCATTTCTCCATGATCTAAACATCAATTCCTTTTAGATATCCTACCAAGTGTTTCAACATTTCTAGAACTAAAATTTTTCTTTTATCTCCGTAACGTTTTTCTGAATTTCCTTATCTCTATGTACCAATACTATTAAGTCTATAAAAACCCACTTTTTTTTCTCTTATATTCAGAGAATCTTGCCAGCTTTCTTTCACAATTATTGTATTCCTGCCACAATTCTGTATTCCTGTCAGTCTGGATTTTTCCCTAGTAGTAAGAGACTGAACCTAGAGCTGTCATGCTAAGCAAGGGCTCTAATCACTAGACTACATCCCTAGTTTTTTTTATGTATTTACTACAGGGTCTACAGGATTTCACTACACAGGTCAGATTCGTAGTGATCCTCCTGTTTTCAGCCTCCCACGTGCTGAGATTACAGGCTTTTAACCTTTTTAAAAATTTTTTTACATTGTCTATGTAGCCCAGGCTGGCCTTGAACTGTGGTGATTCTCCTGCCTCAGTCTCTCAAGTGCTAGAATTACAGGCATATGCCATCACACCCAGCCCTTTTTAAGAACTTAATCTTACTAAATTGCCCAAGCTGGTCTCAATTTTGTAATTCTCCTACCTCAGCCTCTGGAGTAGTTGGGATTGCAGGAACATGCCATGTCCAGCTACCTTAATACAGCTAACAACAGCCTCACTGCTTCAAAATAGCTATCTCACACATAAATTTCTCAACCAGACAGTCTTCCATAGGTTTGCCCTATTTTGTTCCCTTAACCAGTGTACATCACTATTCTTAAGTGTAGTCTCCAATCCAGTTACAACTGCCTCCTTCCTGCCAAAATGCCTATACCTTGGACCTTTCCACGTTTCTCCAACTTTGAGTGCTTCTGTATTTGTGCCACAAGTTGTAGACTGCTTTAATAACATGAATTGTGTGTGTTTGTGTGTGTTCCTGGGGATCAGATTGTTTCATGCATGCTGCACAAGTGTTCTGCCACTGAGCAAAACAAGTTAGCCCTCAAATGGCAATGCTAACTAAGAGCTCTGCCAGATTGAGGCCAGAGCATTATGAGTTTGACCCCATCCTAGGCATCTTGGTAAGACTATCTCAATAAAAAAACAATTCTACATGAGTCATACCTAAAATAGGAAGGAAACAGTAATACCTTATCCTGGAATTGTCATTTGCAAAGAAAATATTGAGACAAATATTATTGAGATAATAGTTAATATGCATTTTAAAATTCTAAACCAGTGCCAAGAACAGATTTTTTTTTTTTTTTTTTTTTTTTTTTTCTGGGGTGAGGTGGTATCTCAATATTGTGTTTTTTTTGGTTTTTTTTTTTTTTTTTTTTTTTTTTTTTGTGGAACCAGAGAATGAACTCAGGCCCTGTTAGTGCTTATTCTACTAAGCCATCTCCCCAGCCCTAAAATTATTTTGCTTTTTACCAAGATGGTACATACTGAAGGCGAAGAAGGCCTCTGCCCCTCCCAAAGCTGAAGCCAAAGCAAAACCTTTGAAGGTCAAGAAAGTTGTGCTGAAAGGAATCCACAGCCACAAAAAGAAGATACAAATGTCACCCACCTTCTGCCACCGTCCCAAGACACTGTGGCTCCAGAGGCAGACCAAATACCCCTGGAAGAGCACACCCAGGAGTAACAAGCTTGACCACTATGCCATCATCAAGTTCCCCCTGACCAGAGTCAGGGATGAGAAAGATCGAGGACAACACATTCGTGTTCATTGTGAATGTCAAAGACAATAAGCACCAAATCAAAAAAGTTGTAAAGAAATTCTATGACATTGATGTTGCCAAGGTCAATACCCTAATCAGGCCTGATGGAGAAAAGGCCTAAGCTCGACTTGCTCCTGATTATGATGCACTGGATGTTGCCAACAAAAGTGGTATCATCTAAACTGAGTCCTGCTAGCCAATTCTAAATATATACTTTTTCCCACAGTTTCAATTACAGGATCAGGGAGATGGCTCAGTAGAATAAGCGCTTGCCTGGCAAGCTCAAGGGACTGAGTTCAATCCCTGGTTCCACAAAAAAGAAACAAGCAAGTAAGCAAATAAACAAACAAAAAACAATTACAAATTCAGTTTTGGTTACTTACCTACTCTCAACTGTAGTAGGCAGCTCATAAAACCATCTTTCCCCTATAAAAAATCTCATTCCCACATTATCAAGAAGCCTCAAGTTCCAAATTCATATACATATGCACACACAAACATAAATGACATGGCAAGGGTCAGAGTTTTCTTTCAGTTTATTTTATACATACACACTTCACAGGTTTTTTAAAAAGTCTGTATACTTCACAAGACAGTACAAACTAGCTACAATCTGCTAGCTACACATTGGGGCATTAACATAGCCCATGATTTTTGCCCTAAAACAGGCAACTGTGTTATTCTGAGATTTCCTCAGCTCATGTTGTGTGGCCCAGGCACCTCCTCATGTAACTTCCACTTTCAGAACGGGGCCCACAAGCCCAAGCTCTATCTTGTTTACTTCAGTTTTAGGTTCAGCTCAAAGATGACACTTTAACGTTTCACTTTTTCATCTTCATGTCTGCTTCAATGGCACAGCGGCGTCCTCTGGTTCCCCCATCCTAGGTGATAGCAGAAAAAAGAAACGGAGTGAGAGTTAAGTTGGTTAGAGGAAAGAAACAAGATGCAACAGGAATGTTGGGGGTTTCATCTCTTGGGGGAAGAGGAGAAAATCAGCAAAAAAACCCCAAAACTTCAGAGGGCCAAGGGGGCATATTTCTGTCTTCCCACAGAAACACCTGGTAGTTTGTCAAAGGAATATAGGACAGAGTATCTTGCTCATGCCCATCACAGAGTCCTTGGAATTCACCTAGGGTCCCACAGAAGGACTGTGTATTAGTCATCCCACCCAGGCCCAAATCATGTAAAAAGGAACAGAAAGAATAAATGAAAGGTTAGAAGAGTCAAAAAGGGCAGAGATAGTGATTCTTGGCTAACATACCTGTCCAGCTGTTGATCCCTATAAGAAAGGCCTTTCCTGCAGACTGACCCTGGCACTAGTTCCCTAGCACCTCCTGAAAGTTGTTTTCCATGAGATCAGGACAATCAGGCTTCTTTCCATCTGCTGCTCTCTCCCTGCAGCCCAGCTCCTTCCTCTTGTGCAATATTTTGCTGTCTTCAATAGATAAAAGATTCTATTAACCAGCCTGTAATAGCCAGCCAACTGTTGGGATCCAGAGTCACTGTTGCAGGCCAGTAAGAACGGAGATGATAGTGTTCTGTCTGTTGTACAGGCTGAAAGGCCTGTAGGCAAGATGAACTAGTGAACACTTTTGCTGGGCTAGACCATTTTTACATTTTTTTTCCTGGTACAGGGGATCAAACCCAGGGTCTCAGCACATGTTAGCAAAGTGCTCTACCACTGAGCTACAGTCCCCATTTTTACATTTTTAACATGCTAGGATTCTAAAATTTTTAGAGCTTATGAATGTAAGGTGTCTATGAGGCAACAGTAAGAATAAAAATACCACCTTGCATTTGGGTAACACTTTTAATTCTTTTTCATATCAGTTCCATATTCATTCTCTCATTTCATCCTCACAACATCCCTGTGAGGTAGGCTGGACAGGTACTTCAGTGTATTAGTTCTATTATACAGATGAGGAAGACAAGGCCCCAAGAAATTATCTAAGACCATATAGTATTTTGCCTGATGCCCCATCCATAATATCATGACTCACTATTCTACAATGAACTACACAGAGTCATTTAATTAACAGAGGAAAAGAAATCTTTAGAGTAGCTAAAGTAAGCTTATCTATAATTTCATCAGCCACTCCTGTATGAAATAGGCAATGTTACTGCACTTTAATTTTACTGAATATGTATTGGCATTGAGTCTTACAACTTTAGGGAAAAAAACCTATGTGCTATGTGTTTGCCAGTATGAGGAACATCATCGAAAGTTAGGTAGCAATAGCCCCCCTCTGAGCAATCTTATATTTTTAAGAAATGTATTGGTCAGTGGTACAGTCCAGAAATGAAGAGCAGATTTTTTCGCCCCTCTACCCCCAAAATACCTTTCTGCCCAATGATCTTATAAATAGTCCCTTACCCAGCCTGCATGCACATGCACACATACACATACACACATGCAAAACAGACAGAAATGCAGAAGAAAAGATAGTTTCTTATTTAATGATCTGAATAAACAGAAGTTTAAGACATTGCCACAGTCTGCATGTTGGATTTCCCCTGCCACCCACGCCCAGCAGGAGCTAAGAATCTTTCTGGTAATACCACCCCTTGCAGCCATTCAATACTTACAAAGAGAGAGAGAAGGAAGGCAGGAGAGCCCATGGGGACACTGTCCTGTTAGAGGACAAACAAACACTGATCAGGTTCCACAGAAACTCTCAGCCGTAAGCACCCCAAACCTCAGGACAGAGACACAAGCACCATACACACAGACAAAATTTTAAAACTCAAAGACGAAAGGAGAGAGATTCAAAAGCCATTTAGTCACTACGATACTAGAATGGTAACTGCTAGACCTCATCTACACCAAGCTAAGTCTTTTCTCCCACCTTGAGGGCACTTTCCCAAAAGAATTAATAATTCTCTCACACCACTAAAATTCCTCTCAGGTAACTGGATCTCTAAGTCATAGCAGGGTTCTTCAATGTTTGGATGGGAGGAAACAACTACCATTCTAATATCAATTTATCTCTATACCACAAAAAGTATAAGCTTGGCAGTGCAAAGTAGTAAAGTTCTTTAGATGCTTTAGACTTCTAGCACTGGAACACTGGCAAACAGGTTCTTTTGCTGGTCTCCTCACCTTCTCAGAAGCATCCTGTTTTCGGGTAGAATCTCTCCCTCGGAGACTTTTAGCACTGATCCCAGACTCAGATGTTTGCATAATCAACTGTGTGGCCAAGAATTGCTGTAAGGAGAAGAAACAGGGTTGGCCATAAAGACATGATAATAAAGAATAACTTCAAACTGTGTAAACAGACTTTTTCTTTCCTTTTTTTTTTGAGACAGTCTCACTATGTAGTCCAAGCTAGCCTCAAACTCTACAATTCTCTTGCCACAGCCTCTCAAGTACTGGGATTACAGGGGTGTATACCACACCTAGCTGTGAACAGAATGTTTTATGTACCCTCCCATTCAAATATGTCTTATGGTAGTGCTGGGAATTGAATCAAAGACTTTGGGCATTCTATGCAAATACTATTTTTTTTTTGGTGGTGGTGTGGTGGGATATTGGAGGCATATTAGGCATGCATACTATAGTGCTATAGCACCAGCTCTCAAATATTGTTTGGTTTACTGGAAATTTAGTATATTAAGTTTTTATTTTAGTTGTAGGGGCCGGGGAGATAGCCCAGCGGAATAAACGCTTGCCTGGCAAGCACAGGGTCCTGAGTTCAATCCCTGGTACCGTTAAAAAAAAAAAAAAAAAAAAATTAATTGTAATAGGCATCTTAAAGAATATGAAAGGGCCAAGGATGGTGGCAAATGCCTGTAATCCCAGCACTTGGGAGGCAGAGAAAGGATTACTGTAAGATTGAGGCCAGCAGGGGCTACATAGAAAGATCTGTCTCAGAGAGACAGAGAAAGAGCGAGAGAGTGCGAGAGCGATGTAATGAAAAAATTTTTTTAAATTAAAAAAAAAAGAAACAAACCTGAAAATGCCAAATAGTTCTATAAATTCCTTACAAGAACAAAAATCTCTGCCCTTTAAGAACGAGGAAAAGAATATTAGTATAATGAACCAAAGGCCATTCCACAACTAAAGTAATTTTAAAAGAGTCTACAAAAACACATTATTCCCTTCAGGTTCAATATTTCAAAGGGTATGGGCCCAGGAAGATAGCTCAGTGACATAAATGCCTGCCTGGCAAGAGCAAGGTCTTGAGTTCAAAAAAAGAAGGGTGGTGGCTAGTAATGACACTTCAGGACAGAAGTAGATTATCTGGTCATGAAAAGGGATAGAAAAGGAATTATCTTTATTGAGTACATGTACCAGATACTTTGCACATATATACAAATATATGCATTTTTTAAAAATTTTATTTAAGGGGCCTGGCCCTAGCTCAGTTCTTTAAGTGGCTGCTTCCACAAAGCTGTCAGCCTCAGGTTGCTGTAGTTTGATCCCCACAACACTCTAGCCAGCCAAAAGTGCCCTGCAGGCATTCGAGGAGCAAAAAAAAAAAAAAAATCCTTATTCCATTGGGGCCGGGGAGATGGCTCAGTAGAATAAGCGCTTGCCTGGCAAGTGCAAGGGTCTGAGTTCAATCCCCGGTTCCGCAAAGGAAAAAAAAAAAATTATTTAAAAGCTTCATGATGGGGATGTGGCTCAGTAGCAAGGCACTTGTCTAATTCCTGAGACATTATATTTGATCCATAGCACTACAAAAATTAAAATAAGAGCTGGTGAGATAGCTCAGTGGACTAAGCGCCTGCTTAGGCAAGCACAGGGACTGGGGTTTGATCCCAGTCCACATGCCTTGCTGGCCCTGCCCCCAGGGTGTGCTGAGCCGGCGATGGAGTCTGGGCATGATGGCACATGCCTGTAATCCCAGTTGCTGGGGAGGCTGAAAACAGGAGGATCACTGAGTCTGAACTGCAGACTCTGTACGAATAAATAAATAAAATAAAATAAAATGAGCCAGGCAAGCAAATGCCTACAATCTTAGCACTTTGGGAGGCTGAGACAGGAAGATTACAAATTCAAGCCCAGCCTGGGGAATTCAGTGAGAATCTGTAACAAAAATAAGAAAACAGGGGCTGGGGAGATAGCTAAGCAGAATAAGTGCTTGTCTGGCAAGCATGAGAGCCTGAGTTCAATCCCTAGTTCTGCAAAAATAAATAAATAAATAAATAAATAAATAAATAAATAAATAAATAAAATAAAATAAAAAAATAGGGCTGGGAAAATAGCTCAGCATGAAGGCCTTAGGTTCAATCCCTAGTAACTTTATTATTCCTTCAAAAAATTGAAGTTATTTGCCCAAGACTGACTTCTATCATACTTACTTCCTCACCAAGACCATAAGAAAATCAACATAAATTGAGTAAAAAAGAATTGTTACTGTTTTCCTGACAGTTATTCCAAATAAAAGCCACAACATTCCTTTCTATCAAAAACAAAGGATCGCCAAAGCACCTGTATTTGTTCCAAGACATCTCGCTGCATCTCTACCGCCATGTGATAGACATCATGGTCAGAACTATTATACATTACAGCATTCTGAAACATCAGCATAATGTCACGCTGAAATTCAGCAGTACTGCGAATCAGTCCATTTTCAATGTTTTTCTTAATAGTAGACAAATCCATAGGTCTAAAAAAAAAAAAGAACAAGGTTAAATGGCAATGGAAAGAAAAAGAGGGCTCACCTGGATTTCTAAGTACATTATCACTATATAGACCTTCTCATATATACCTTCAGTTCGCTGCCATGCTTTAAAATGCCAACCCTTCATCTCAAAACATCCATTAAACCCCAAAAGTCATCAGTATGTATATAATAGGCATTGGGAAAGGAAATGAAAGGGACTTCTTTTAGACTACTGGTGACCCAGAGACTAGAATGGTAGTTTAGTACATGGCTGCTCTTACATAAAAAATGTTTGTCTTAAACTTATATCTAAAGCCAAAAATTCAATAAGTGTGGCTGACTTACAATTCAGGAAAGTCAGCACGCTATGTGGACCATGGCTTACCTCTGTACAATGCTGTGGTAACCAGGTGCTATATCATCTGTAACAGGCTGCAGAAAGACATTGGCATATCTGTCCAAAAACAAAATAAAATTTTAAAAATACTTGCAAATTGGGGCTGGTGAGATGGCTCAGTGGTCTAAAGCGCCTACTTAGAACAAGCTAAGCAAAACACAGGGACCACGGTTCAATCCCCCAGCACCACATGCCAGCCAGTCCCGCCCCCTGGTGGGCTGAGCTGGCCACACACACACACAATAAATAAATAAATAAATAAATAAATAAATAAATAAATAAAAGATAATTCTATAAATAAATAAATAAAATAAAATAAAATAAAAAATACTTGCAAATTAAAGCAACACTGAAATTCCACTTCACCCCAGAAAGAATGGCTATCATCAAGAAATCAACCAATTTAAAAAAAAAAAGAAATCAACCAATAACAAATGCTGGAGGGGCTATGGGGAAAGAGAAACCTTTCTCCACTGTTGGTGGGAGTGTACATTGGTACAACCACTATGGAAATCAGTGTGGAGATTCCTGAAAAAAAAACAGGATTAGAAGTCCCATTCAACCCAGCTATTCCTTCCTTGGGTACGTCCAGGTTTACAGCAGCACAATTTGTCATAGTTAAATCTTGGAAATGTTCCAAATACCTAATCACTGAGGAATGGATTAAAAGAAGATGCGGTATTTTTATACACTAGAGTATTACTCAGCTATAAAGATAAACTTGAGGCTTTTTTTTTTTTTTTTTTTGCAGTACCGGGGACTGAACTCAGATCCTTGCGTTTGCCAGTCAAGCACTTATCCCACTGAGCCATCTCCCTGGCCCCTAAACTTGAGGCTTTTATAGGTAAATGGATGCAATATTAGAGACCGTACTCATAAATGAAATAAATCAGACCCACATGTACAAACATCATATTGTCCTCCTAGTGTAAGAACGTGAAAGAGTAAATAATCCAAAAGGTACAAAAGATATTGTGAAAGAGAAAGAAACTATTCAAAGGAAAGTAATAACTGATATGAGGGAAAGGAAGAAACAAAGAAGTAAAAGTTATATATACATACACACACACACACACACACACATTCACAAGCTTAGATAATTGTACTTTTCCCCATAATTTTATTGAGAAACAAATAGCAATGAGACAGTTTCAAACCAAATTGGTAGGACAGTTTAAATAATTAGCACATTGCATACATTCTTCCTAGTGGTTAATTGATGTAAAAGATGCGGACATGATATCCTATTTACAAACACTATTAGAACAAATCCCTCTATTCATTAAGAGAATGTAACTATCCTAACCATTTTGAATACACAGATACAAAGATAATTGTACTCTTGATTTCTACTGGTCTACAGTAAGGTACAGTTAATGCTCACATTCTTTCTTCTTTTTAATTTTTTTTGGATCAATTTTGCATGCTTGTATCTGGTAATCTGAACAACTAATTTGAAGACAACAATATGCAATATAACAACCATTACTGAATTTCTATCATTTTGTTTCATGAAACTGGATCATTTCTTTTTACTATCTTTAATTCTCTTTAAAAAAAAAAAACAAACCCTACAATTTCTTTCTTTCTTTTTTATTTATTTATTTATTTATTTATTTTTCCTCGCGAAACCAGGGATTGAACTCAGGTCCTTGCGCTTGCCAGGTAAGTGCTTATTCCACTGAGCCATCTCCCCAGCCTAAAAAACCCCTACAATTTCTGACTTTTTTTTTTTTTTTGGCAGAACCGGGGATTGAACTCAGACCCTTGCGCTTGCCAGGGAAATGCTTATTTCACTAAACCATCTTCCTGGCCTTTTCTGACTTATTTTTCAGGCACAAGCAGTCCCATAAAAGCCCACTCAAGACTTTTCTGGTCACCCAACAATGAGGAAGAGCAAAAGAAAATGAACCTACTAATTGGTAAGGCACACTCACCTATGATTAGCTGCAGCCCTCCATACAAGCATGATGGCTTTCTTCCAGATTTTCTGGGCCTGAATAGCTTCCTGATCTTCACTACAGACAGAGCTGGAATAGAGACACAGGAATTCTACTAGGTGCAAGTTTTTTAAAAGTCCTAGCCACATATAGTGACACACACTAACAATCCCAGCAGGATTATTATTATTGGGAGGCTGAGGAAGGAGTGTTGCACAGAGTCCAAGACCAGAGTACACAGCCAAGAC